GCTTCACTTGGATGGGAAATCAAGCTCTGGCTGTGGTGTTTTGCTTCAGAAGCAAGCAAGCTTTGGGGAGATGGAAGGAGCATGTGGTGAAATCAGGCAATGGACTCCAAGGGTTTGTTTTATTATTCAATGTGTGAATCTTATTAGGTCATAAAATCTGGATGACAGGAGAAGGGCAGGGATGTAAATGCAAGGTCAGCACAGGAATGCAAGAGATGGAGCTGCTGGGGGAGCCAGCCAGCACCATTATTCATGCTAGTAATAATGATACTAAGGGTGTGCATGCTGGCACCTCTGCTGTGCTGCCCAGCCATGCCCAGTGCATGGCTGCTGGGCTCAGAAGGAGCAGCAGAGAGGGAAAATCCATCCGTTATATAATGAAAGAGGCTTAAAATGGATCAGGCACCTCGTCTACTAAGCTGAACTACTGTGTGATGGAATACATGACTTTTTAGAAATAGAACAAAAATCTATCATGTCAAAATCTTATCCTTTCCAGGAGCAAGTGTGAAGCAAGTGGAGAAATGAATGAAAAACTGTAGCATGAATTTCTTTATCTAGCCAAGAGCTCATGAACAAAGCCCAGAAATGTACTGCTGGTCAGGCTGAGTCCTAAGGATCCCAGGCCTCCTTTCACAGTAATGATCTTCTTGCTTTCCACTGCCTGACCTGGAATATTAAAACATAAAATTACCTTCTTTTTAGTTATACTGTTTTTCATGACTGGCTCCAGCTCTGGCTCTGGCAACCTGATCTTAATGCAATTTGGAAACATTTAATTCTGCTGAACGCCTTTCTCATCTCAGTGAGAGAATATGCACTTTGCTCCCACTTCCATCCTATGTGCTTTTGCTGTTTGAGCTTCTGTCACACAGGTATCTAAGGAGTAACACTAAGAAGGGGAAGATGTACTATATGTCTATTTATAAATATATGTGTGCATGTACAAAAAAATCTCTACATAATAATAGTAGGTGGCTACATTCTGCTTTCCAATCAAAAGACTGCTTTCAGGGGAAGTCAGGCTTCACCATTACAAAGCTACTATTTCTATAATAAATGGAGCAATATTCTTCTTCCTCTGCTTTCTTCTATGAATTTTACTCCATCCTTGGGAGTGCTGGAATGAAGTCTGTATGATTTAGAATCTGTCAGACTTGTGGTGGCACTGCTCTCAAATCCCATTCTCTGCACACAGCAGAAAGCTTCTCACCAGATAAAACAGAGAGCAAGAGCTGAAATTCTCATAAATGCATAATTCTCAGGCTGAAAAAGAAGGCATCCAGCTCTCATCGTGCAGATAGAGGCATCTTTGGAAAAACACTTCTCTATTATGACCAGAGCAGCTTCTGGAAGTGACGAGGGTCCAGCTCAGAACCTTTTGCAAACATTCTGTATTTTATTCAGTGATTATCTGTATAGATAATCTGTATGGCCACACTAAAATACCAGTCCCTAGGGCTTTCCTCATTAAAAACTGAGTTCCCTAGGTATCCCATTAGACAAGCTGCTTCTTGCCTTGTTTCTTCCTGGTCCTGCGAAATTTGCCTTTCTACAGCACAGTCCAGATCAAGAGGAAGCCGAGCAGTCCTGTGAGGCAGCACCATAAGCCTGATAGCTTCTGGTTCAATGTTAGGAAGGATCTGTTCTCAGAAGGATTGGTAACGCATTGGCACAGGGTGCCCAGGGAGGTGGTGGAGTCCTGGGAGGTGTTCAGGAACCATGCAGATGTGGCACTGAGGGACACGGGTTCGTGGGCATGGCTTGGGGTTGGACTTGGTGATCTTAGTGGTCTTTTCAACCTCAGTGATTCTATGATTCCTCCTGTAGATATCTTTTGTGTTAGACTTAGTTGCTTGTGTACCCAAGTGTCAGCTGCTCCCATCTCTGCGTCCTGAACACGCTGCTTATGGTTGTTAAAGGTATTAACCACAGACCTTATTTATGAATTCCCAGCAGCATCAGTCTAGAGATGTATAGCTAGGTGCTTACCCACAGTTCTCAGTCCAATCTGTGCTTTGGCTGCTTGGATTTTAGGCCAAAATTCTGCCGATAACTTCTGCTAGATAAATACAATTTATACTGGGTGAATGTAGGTTGGATTCAAAGAATTTGTAACCAGACTCTTTATATTAGCAGATTTGCTGAATCAGTTTTAATTAATTTTGATAGGTAATGTTTGAATATAGAAATAGCTGCTTGTGGCTCTGGAGCTGAGTCTCTGTGGATGTCCCTGTGTTCTGCTCTTTGCTAGGGGGTCTCCAAGGTTTGCGTGCAACCCCAGCAGAGATGGTTGGCTGAGACTCAGCTGGAAATCAAGCTCACAGATACAGGAAGCTGCAATTCCCAAAGCTGCATCCTGGGGAATGGGTCCTCTCAAAGGATCTTCAGATGTTTGCCTACCTGGCAATTTCACGAGATTATTTCAGCCCAGAGATATCAAGGTGGCATTTCTAATCGTTGGTCTTGTGGGTTTTTTTCCCCTTTCTTTCTTAAAGTTTCTGTTACACAGACCATTAATGGAGAGTACTGTGGGCTGTTCCCTTTGCAGCGAAAATACAAGATGTCCTCAGGCTGCACTAATTAGAACAGTTCAAGCACTTTTCCAGTGAGACGACTACTTGCAAAATGCTACTCCATTAAATATATGTATTATATATAATAGAAATACAGACAAGAAAATCTCTTGGAGAGCAGAAACCAGAACAGTTTCCAGCAACAGAACAAAACCCTGCCCTAGTGTGGGGTTCCCACTGCCCAGTTCAGACCCACCCACCACCATCTTGGCTGTTTCATACATCTTGGTTTTGCTCTGTCTCATGGTAAAGCCTTTTTCTCTAGATAGTGCTTGTTATAAAGGCCTCAAGGGAGCTTTAGATGTTCATTTACTTTACCAGGGTCCAAAAATACTTAGCTCAAGTCAATTAAGTTTTTAATTAAACACGCATTAGGAGGGGAACCTTGCATATGAAATTATTTCATTGCTTTTTTCATAGGCAGAGCAATCAGTTGAGTTTGGCAACTTGTGCACTGCAAAAAGTTAAAGCCCAAGATCTCCTCTAACATTCACTTGTGAACTGTATGACTCACAAAATTGGTTCTCTCAGAGCAGAAACCCTGCAATTCCAATTCTTTTCCCCAGGGTGTTGATTTCTGTATTGATCGTATTCCCCAGGTTTCTCCGATTTAAAGTTTGTCATTTAAAAAGCAGCCAGCGCTTCATTTGTGGGCACTGCACTTCTGTGGATTGTAAGGCCAATATATGCAATTCTACAGCTCAGCTGTTAAAGCAAGAGTGTGCTGAATAATTGACCTGCACCAGCATCCTCCACCATTTGAATGATAACAGATATTTTTAAAAGATTGGTCTGGGAAACTCGAAAGTGTCTGAAGTGATTCAAAACAGAAAGATGTGCTAAAAATATGTTTTCTAAAGGCTCTTCTGGGCGGTATCGTATCTTAAAATGGTTTCAGTTGGAAGAGACCTTCATAGAATGGTTTGAGTTGGAAGGGACCCTAAAGGCCATCTGGTCCAACCCCCCTGCAATGAGCAGGGATCCCTACAGCTCCATCAGGTGCTCAGAGCCCCGTTCAGCCTGACCTTGGGTGCCTCCAGGGATGGAGCATCCACCACATCTCTGGGCAAACAAATGGTATCAAGAAGATATTTAAATACTTGGTATCCAGAAGAGATAGTTGATGAGATCGATGTTAAAAAAAAAAAGCTTCAGTCTCCTTAATGCACAAAAATCCCATACCAACTGGATAGCAGGTTGCAGACAGCATTTCTGTCAGCAGGATTGGACCCCAGCCTTTTGTGCTTGATAACAGGGAAACATTTCTGAATCTTCATACATGCCAGAAGCTGAATAAGCAGAACATTTTAACCCAGAAAATGCTCCTGAGATACCCAGGAGAGCCTATGAGCTTCCAGAGGTGCAGACTGCCAAATTTATTGATTTACTCTGAGTGGAGGGTTAAAGAAGCCACAGTTATCCGGGTGTAATAATTTGTGGGTTGTTGGAAACACAGCCACACTCACTGTCTTCCTATGGTTTGTCCTCATCACCATCTCTGGTAAATGTGGGATAAAAAATCCAGAACTGGAGCCAATCTTTTTTCATTTCCAACTTTGATGTGTGAAAAACAGCCTGTTTTAACCTTAGTGCTCTGACGTAGTTTTTATTTTGTGTGTCAGTCCCAAACCGAGGTGATACCATCAGTATGAATTACAGCTGGGCTTAGACCATCCCCAAAGAGGAATTGGGATCCTATTCCTCACTTAGACAGACAACTCCCTGGAGATCCTTACTACCCAAACCATAGGGATGCACAGACTTCCACTGCTGAGCCACGGCTCTCAGCAGGAATGCATGAAGGGTTTAAACTTAAATAAAGTATTCTTGCTTGTCCTAAAGACGCTCCTGGGATTCCTGAAATAAGCCAAAGCACCCTTCTTCCCACCCAGTGAGATCTCTAGCAATACTTGACATCTGGATAATATTTTTCCTACAAATACAGTATTGTGCTTATTGAGGCACACACACACATAGAAATATTCATCCATAAGCATGAATACACATTCATGTTAGACAGAAAATGATCAAGGCCAAATCCTAGCCATAAAGCTGAGCATCCTAAACTGGCTTTCATCCACACTAATCAAGGCTAGCCCCCTGTAGCAGCTTGTTTTGGGGAGCCATGGAGTTAAGGTGCTGCTTTGGTGATTCAGCTGAGTGCCTGGCCCTTTGATGTAGCAGCATAGATGTGCCCTCAGGATTCTGTTTTCTCCAAGATTTGTTTCAATATGGTAACACACTCAAAAAAAGTCTTTTCTCACTATCACCCTCTAATCTGGCTATTAATTATCCATAGCATTGAGGTTTTTGAAGTAAACCTTTGTTGAGAACGGAAGAAAGCAATGGGTCCCTCCCATCTCCGAGAGAAAAAGAAAAAGAAAAAAAGAAAACACAACAGTATTTGAATAGTAAAACCTCTATTATAGGATGTGAAGTAACTATGGAAAATGTGAACCTGGGAGCAGCTTTATGAGGAGGTGACTCAGGACTGGTTGTCCCAGAAGAGCCATCTCTGCAATGTAGGATGGTGTCTGCTGTGCAGAGCTCAAGTGGCTTAGTGGGTGACTGTCATCTCCAGCCTCTGGTTTCTGCTTCTCCCCAGGAAGCTGGAGCTCACATTCAGGCACTTTTTCCTCTCCTTTCTGGGGATGAAACTGGGGGAAAGAGGGATTCCTTTGAAGCAATATTTGTTCACAAAACAAACCCAGTCTTCTCTGGCCACAAAGACATTTAATAATGGAGATGGATGTTCACCTTGTTCTGGCATTGCTGGAAATATAGTGACTGTAGGGACAGCTGACTCTGCTCTGAAATAGAGAGGTTAGATTAGGTCAAAAACAAATGGGATAATACCATAATTTTAGGGGGAAGTTTTTCACATTAGGAGGAAGTTTTTCACTCAGAGGGTGGTGACACACTGGAACAGGTTGCCCAAGGAGGTTGTGGATGCCCCATCCCTGGAGGCATTCAAGGCCAGGCTGGATGTGGCTCTGGGCAGCCTGGTCTGGTGGTTGGTGACCCTGCACATAGCAGGGGGTTGAAACTGGATGATCATTGTGGTCCTTTTCAACCCACGCCATTCTATGATTCTATGATTCTATGATTCCATGATTCTATGATTCTATGATAATAATTTTCCAAAAGACCAAATATTGTCTTTTCTTAAGTCCTTCTGCTTTCCTGACCTCTACCTAGAAAGCTAAAAATGTGTCAGTGAAAGAAGATGACCTGATTCCTGTTCAAAGCCCATTCCCAAACTACTCTAAACTGTAGCAGAAATGCCACATTGATGTTTTTTTCCTGCAAACACAGCATCGTGCCCATGGCTGGTTGAGGAAGAACTGTATTTAAAGCCAAAGCACCAGAACTAATAGCTGGTATTTCTCACACTGGCTGCACAGCTTCATTTGGAATACAAACCACTTACTTCCTATTAAACATCCAGAAAACTGATGCAAGAAACAGAAGTGCTAAATGCCTACCATCTCTCACATGCTTGCTGGCTGTGTTTCAAGGCAGCACCGATCAGGCACAAATACACTGATGGAACCAAGAGTTTCATTGCCAGCATCTGGCTCAGGCACACATCCCACTGCACAGAGCCCTCAGTCACCTTCCTGCACATCTTTATGTCCTTGCAACACCACGGCCATTGGCTGGCAGTGTGCTCTCTGCTCCATGGACAGCACAAGGGCATTCCCTGCTGAGCTCCTCCTCTTCTCCCAACCTCATGGTCTTGATTTTTGTAAGATGCCCAGATTTCTTTGTGCAGGACCTCTCCTCCATTCCCACATGCCACATGGACCGATAGCTTATCATATTCCCCAGGCCCATCAGCTGCTGCTCATCTGTTTTTCCTTTAGTTCACCAGTTGTTATTTTTACTGTTATTTTTGCAGGACCCAGCACTTGCTCTTGTTGAACTTCACACAGTTGGCCTCGACCCCTCAATCCAGTCTATCCAGGTCCCTTGGTAGGACTCCCCTCAGGCAGATCAGCACTTCCTCCCAGTCTGGTGTCATCTGCAAAGTTGCTGAGGGTGCACTCAATCCCCTCATCCAGATCATTTCTAAAGATATTAAACAAGACTGGCCCCAGTGCTGACCTCTGAGGAACACCACCTGAGATCAGTGGCCAGCTGGATTTAACCCCATTCACCACCCCTCCCTGGACCCAGACATCCTTGCACATTCCTTGCGTAAACACAGAGCAATCTCATACTGCAAACTGAGATTGACAGTGCTAACATTTAGCACAGCCAGACTGGGAGACTCTCCAGTGTTGATTAGATCAGAAGCTTTCTGATGTGACCATTTGCTCTGCAAACATACTAAATTAATTGGCTTATTATTAGCAACTTGGCCAGGAGCCTTGTCTCATCTGCTGGAATAGCCTGTAGAGAAATAAAATCTATTTCTTTTTCCTATTGTTTTGGCATCCCATTCTACCACTGAGTAGCACATAACATCTGTCTGCTTCCAGCTGGATGTGGAAGAATTAAAACAGCAAATATGATAGTGTGTTTCAATTAGACACTGTTAAAAAATAAAAGGAAGGAAATGATGCTTATAGGCTTGGTTTGGTATAAAACTGACTCCTGAGGAGGAAAGCATGGCTGGATGGCATCATTTTTCCCTGGGAGCAGGGCAGTGCTTGTGTCTTCCAAAGGCCATATGATGAAAATTGGGGGGAGTGGCTGACAGTTCCTTTATTCCCAACTACCAAGACATCAGCTGCTTTGTAACAAGCTTTTCTCTCTTCTTGTCCTTTCCCTCCATCTCTTCAGAGCCCCATCGTTGGCTCAAGAAAGTTACATTACAGATATACTACTCCCAAAGCTCTGATTAATTGACATCCCCTAATGAATGAAAATAATTTTTCTGAAATATATTGCTTCCTAAGTTGGGCTCTTGGCCTTTGTTTATAATTTCTGCTGGGTTGGTGGCTGAGCTGAGGAGGGACCTGGCACTTTTCTTTCACAAATGACACATCACAGCAAGCTGATCTCAAACACTGTTGTGGCTCTGCTGTGTTCAGTTCACTTCTAACAGTCATTTCTGCACTAATGCCCAATCACTTTGAATGACTTCTCCCATAAAGGATGCATCGAGTAAGTTCAGAATTCAGTTTGTTCTTCCATGCTTGGAAACATAAAAGAAAAACTAAAAGAGGGAAATGCTACTCTGTGGTGATGACGGTGGATGGAACACCCTTTTCCCAGAGCAGACATCCTCACTGTCCATCTTAAGGAAGAAAAGTATTGAGCAACAAAGAGGATGGGGCACAGTTTGATGCCCCAATGTCACACTCACACACCCCATTAGCAGGAGACAGCCTGCACAGCCAGGATCAAGTGGGTGTCTGGACACACGTTCACCCTAAAGGGAGAATTTCCCCTTCCATCCAGGAGATGGCACCAAGGTACTCACAGAACATCCTTCACTTCAGCCCTCTTGAGAACTTATCTTCCCTGAAGTGATGCATGCACTGGGGAGAAAACTCCAAACTACATTCATTGGGTTGTGCATTCTGTGATGGGATCAACTGAGTGCCGTAAGAAGGAACATGTTTCTGATGGCTCTATGGAGGTCATCGCTTGGATTTGAGCAGAATCAGCCCCTTTCTTGGTTCCATATTTCCCACCAGAGAAGAGGATCAAGCCAACCTCCATCTGGGGGTGTTCCCTGGTTTCAGACACAGGCCAGCACCAAATGCTTTGGAGGAATATTCCTAGTATCAATAGTATCAACCACAGCAGTAGTGGGGTGACATGCTCCTGGAAAATGCCTCCTGGTCTCCACCAGCTACAGTCTGACTCATCTCTCACTTATTTCCCTCTGCTGTTTTGGTTTGTTGCTGTTGTTGTTGTTGGTTGGCTGGTTATGTTTTGTCTTTCCTTTGGGCTTCGTTGCTAGTGCAAGGCCTCTCCATAGAAAGCAAGGCCTCTTGGGATGGAAAAACTAACATAGGAAAGAAAACAAATGTGATTCTGGGAAGACAAGTAGTAGAATGCTCTGTGGCCAGAGCAGTGGCTCTGTATTTTTCACCTGAGGAATGATTTGATCTGCCTTAGTTCCCCAGCTGCCAGGAGAGAAGGAATAACCCACAGACTGAAAGTGCCACGCATGAGTGGAGCCAATATGAAGCTGAAGACCTTCCAAGGTGCCCCTGCTGGTCTACCATTCATTGCAGATAAGCACACAGTTAAGGACCCCATCAGCAAGTCCATCATCAGTTTGCCTGACTGAACATCTTCATCAGTACTCTGATATGTGCATCGTCCAATCTGGACATTTGTTTCCATCATAGTTGCCAATGCTGATTAGCGATTAGCAGTGTATTTTTTTTCCCAGGGGAGATGACTTGAAATTACCTTACATACATAATTCATCACAACGCAGACCCTGTCTGCCTATCAAATTGTTGCTGTGGAGCAATGCCAGCACGTCTAAGGAACCTGTCTCCAGCCTGGGGAGTCAGGATAATGACGTTTTTTCATAAGATAAACCTGTCAGTGAGATCACAGGATTTGTTTCAACAAGTACAAAAGTGTCTTACTAAGAACATTTCTAATCTCATGGTCCCATTCCTCAAAGAATTCAAACAACTTCTGCAACTTATGTTGTAGAAAAGTATTATTTTTTTTTCTATTTTTAAGGTAAAGGCAGTTTCATTGTTTTTGCTTTTCAAATTCTACCCATTGTACACAGCTGCAGTGGGAATCTCTACACTATCCAATGCCATGCTGACTGGGTCAGTGACATCCCATGATGTATGAGCATCCTTCTATTGTATTCCAAGCAGAATCATAGAATCACTTAGTTTGGAAAGGACCTCTAAGATCAAGTCCAACCATCAACCCATCCCCATGATGCCCACTAACCATGTCCCTTGGTGCCACATTGACAGTTTTTGGATACTCCCAAAGATAGCGACTCCACAACTTCCATGGGCAGCCTGTTCCAATGCATTATCTCTTTTTCAGAGAATAAATTTTTCGTAATATCCAACCTGAAACTCCCCTGGCATAACCTAAGGCCATTGTCTCTTGTCGTCTGATGAGAGCAGGTGGCTTTCCTAGGGTCCTGCAGCAAGTTAATGGCAAAATTTGTCATTGGGGTATGGTGATGGAGTGAAACACCAGCGGTGTATAAAGAGGAAGAAGAGGTGATTCCCTTTGACAGTTAATTCCTTGGGGCAGGGGCCAGTGTGCTGCTTTGCCTATAGATGCCATCACCACCTGCTCCTGGTCTAAGTATGTTTGATATTACTGTAAAAGAGGTTATTGGTTGCCATCATTTTGTCTGTATCCGTTCAAAAGTATCTTTCTTATCCTTGAGTACCATAAACAAATCAAATGAAAAGCAGCATGTTTGAGATGCTGAGGAGGAAGATTTCTACACTATCTATTCCAGGACAGTTTTGGTGCCCACTCAGAAGATTCCAAGGCAGAGCTGGACGGGATCAGGGCCACCAGCCATTCCCAGCACGTTCCATGCATCTGCAGCCCTGCAATGCCACCTCCAGGCTGGCAACAGCCTCGCTCCTTCCACAAATCCTAAACCCCCAAAACTCACAGCAAAATCAATGTTGGCTGCTCTCAGTAACATTCACAAGGCTTTTAAGACAGTAAATGAATACAGAGTTCTTTAACAAGTATGTAAACTTAACTTTGATGGGTGCTTTTAACTGCACTGTCCAAAAAACACTTTTTATTTCCAACAATGAGAAAAGCTCAGGTTTCTTCATGAAATATGTGTGTAAGAAGGTTTCTGCTGAACACTTTAAAAGTATTTGGTAATGGTGGGTTTGGAATAGAGGTTTCCAGGCTTCCAGGATCTCTGATGGAAAATATCCCTCAGCTTGGAGAACAGGGAGCTGCAATCACAGAACAGCATGGGTAATGCATCCTCACATCAATCAGAGCAACACAATGCAATGTAGGTCTCCTGATTCAAGCCTGCTGAAACCAGGGCCAGCTCAACGAGGCTGCTCAGGCTTTGGCTCATCACCTCGTGAATGTGCCCCTGTAATCCCACTGCCTCAACCTCTGAAATCCTACTGACTCCCCAGCACAGTGTCACCCAGCTTTCAGCACAGACACGGGTAATGCTGCCACTTACCGTGGAGCAGCGCTCATTGGGCTGTGCCTGGTGCAACCTCACTCTGGGAGGACAACCCCTGGGGCTTCAAGGCAGAGCCAAGCTCTGCAGTGCAGCCTTGAGATGCCCAATTCAGCTTCTGCAAGGAAATGCTGTAGTTGTCCTTGTATTCAGACACCCAGCGGTTCCTGCGGAGAACATGGAGAAGGTAATGAGGAGTGGATACTGTCACTGGGACCAGTCACCCACCCAGGTCAACCACTGCACCAGCTGCATCTGCAGCCCACACCTAAATCCAAGATTGTGGATCAAAATCAAGTCTTCAGTGTAAATCTGGAATATATATATGCTAGGGGGAGGCGCGGGGATGAGGCAGCAGGGAGGAATTACCCTTCCAGTGAGAAGTCAGAGCTCAGGAGCAGTTTATGCCTGTTTGTTCATAGTGTGCAAATGAGTCACCTCACAAACAGCTCCTGCCCTGTCTGATCCAAGAGCTTCCTTTCCCGGGAGAAACCCAGGCACTGAAATGTTGAGATGTGCCCTCCTGTGCCCATCCCGCAGGGACATCAGTTCCTACCTCCTGAGGGGAATTGTCGATGGTTGCCCCAGGAAAAGCTTCCCTGATCATACTAACGCCACTATAAAACTTCTGAAGAAAAGGCTGAGCCTTGTGGAAGGCCATGGCCCTGAGGGAATTCATTTGAACACATTGCATCACATGAACATGGAGAAATACACTTGAGAAACACCTTCCAACCCCAATCAGCTCCAAAACCACGCTCTTCTACTCTTACCCTGGCCCCACTCCCAACCCACTCCCCCAGCCCAGCTTTCCCTTACTGGTGGAAGCGTTCAGCTTCAGTGAAAATGTGAGATAGATTCTTATTTGCTATACAGCTCCCAGTGTAGGCTGCAGGCTGGTGCTGGAAGTCGGTGCTGTAGGTACTTCTCTGGTCATGGTCAAAGTACTCTAGTGAAGGAGAGTACAAATAATCAAGAGGTCAAAGTGGATCAGACTCTGAGCACCTGATCTGGCTGAAGATATTCCTGTTCACTGCAGGAGAGTTGGACCTGATGGCCTTTCAAAGTCCCTTCCAACTTCAATGATTCTATAATTCTATGAAATATTCTGGGGGGGTCTCTATCCCCTACATCCTGCAGTCCAACCTTTCCCCCTCCTCCTGAGCTCCATCAGCACTTTATGCTCTTGGCACTACCATGACCATGAAGGAGAGTTAGCCAAGGGAAAATGCAAGTGCTTCCTTGGTAAGGATGGAGATATTTTAGCACTCATTTCCTATGGCCTCTCAAGTATGATGGAAGTCACACAAGGTGTCTTGTCCCTTGTGGACACTGACTGGTTTGCTGCTATGTATTTTCTCCTGCTGTCTACGTTCTCCTCTTTTATCATGCCAGAGCAACACATCTTCGCCTTACTTCATCAGGAGTAAAACAAGGATGAGTTCCTTTGCAGAAAAACAAAAAAATACTCCACAGCCCATCTTGTGCAATGTTACCACAAGAGGATGCATGGACACCAATGTGTGGCTGAACTGGGTGTTCATGCAGGGCTGTTTCCTCATTTCCATTTGTGTCTTTGGTTGCGTGCACGGAAATAGGTGCATGAGTGACCCCAAATAAAACCAGTTTGCAGTGTGACTTTGTGGTAAAAACATGCTCCCTGTCTGCAGGCTACAGATCTGCTGCCAGAGGGCTGCTCTTAGTGCAGAAACCACAGAAATCTGGAAATGGGACAGCAGCTCAGCCCCACGCCAGGGGAGATGCATGCAGGGAGGGCAGCCTCCAGGTGAGGATCATCACATCTGCTCTGCTTCATCCCCTAAAAATCCTTGCAGGAGCTGACTTGAAGGATTGTCATATTCTCTCCTTCGTGTGTGTCCCTCTGACCAAATGGACCTGCCTACAGAAAACGTTCACAGCAAAGCAGTGAGAATGCACACATACCCACCAACTTCAGCTGCACCACCTGGAGTGGCCCATATGAAAATGGGGATGGAAGAGATGTTATTTACGATGCTCCAACCTTATCTGGATGAAAATTATTTTCCCTGCCCTACTTCTTCCCACCAACAGGTGGATGGCTGTGGGGATCCTGCAGGCATTTCCCACTTCCTGCATTAAATTCAAGAAGCCCAAAGTCAGGCTGAAGGCCACAAGTCATCTGCCACAGCCTCCACCCACTGACCTTTCACCAAAACTGACGAGGCCAGGGCCACATTCTTGTTCTGCTGAGCCTCATCTTGCAGGGCCTGGCCTGCCTCCAGCATGAAGTGCTGGTAGGTACCCCAGGTGGGATCCAGCTTCTGCCTATATAGCAACATCCCTGAGAAATGAGAGAAGACAACAGTGCATTAGATAGGAAAATCTATCAATTACCCAAATCCTGCCCTCGGGTGGGAGCAAGCAAATAACAACAGCAACTTGGAGCCTGAGCTGGTATAAATCAAGGTAAGACTCATTCCCTTCAGCAGAGCTTTGCTGAGTTGCATCAATTTGGAATTGATTTGGTTCACAAAGCCAGTGGAGGAAAGATTTATGGTGATGTGAAGCGAGTGGAAGGAGCCATGATGTCTCCATGGTGCTCTGGAGTGCTAAAAGGAGCTGAGACCCTTTGCAGGTCATTGTATGAAAGACTTTGCAAGAAATACAGCACTGCTGTACTATAGAGGGGCAGAGCAAGAAGGAAAAAGCCCACAGCAGTTGTGTCACTAGCACAATACAGTGTAAGATAGGCTCAGCAAGGAGATGCTTGAAGCCTTCAGTTGTTAAGAGACATCTTTAAATGGTTATCTGTCCAAATGGAGACACGTCCATCTGAGCTACTTATCCCAGCTCTCCTTCTAGTGCATGGAAAGAGAGAAGTCCTGCCAGGATTCACTCTATTTCGTGCTCTGTCCTTGGAGATATTCAAGGACAGGCTGGATGGGGCTCTGAGCACCTGCTGGAACTGTATGTGTCCCTGTTCTTTGCAGGGGAGTTGGACCAGATGACCTTTAAGGGCCCCTCCCAACTCGATTCTATGATTCTAGGATTTTCATGGCAGCATTTAGGCTGCAAGAAATATCTGTGGCTTTTCTCTCCATTGACCATGAGGAGAGCTGAGAGCTCCAAACAGACATCCTATGGTGGAAGATGGGAATTCAGAGAGGACATCCTGCCCATATCCCCCTGCTTGGTGCTGGAGAATGGCTGAGCAGTGCTGCCCTCCTCCCTTCTACCTTGGAACTCAGAGGAAGATCTCCAGTGCTTTTTGAAGATCAAGCACGGAGGGTGAGCACTGATTTTGTTTTCCTGATGTCCTAGCAAGGATTTGTATTAGCATTTTAATCCACACAAGCAAGCCACGAGCCTGCTACCCTACTAAGCCAACCTGCAGCCCATTGGTGCCCAGCCAGCCTGGGGCAGGGGGACCAGGGATAGCACAGCCCAGCAGACAGCTCTCAGATGCTGGATCTGCCTGGCACCAGCTGAGTGGGATTACCTGTTGCTCCTGGGCCACCACCAACGGCTTGAAGGTGCTGGGAAGAAGATAGTCCCTTTTCCAGCCCACTGGGAGCCTGTGGCCTCTCTGGTCTGTCCGCCTGGGTTGCTGTCAGTTCAGTGGTGAGGTACGGCTTTGGTGCATGGCCTTCTGCTAGCGGGAGGTCTGAACCAAAGTGCTTTCTCTGCTCTTCATGAGCCTGCTGCAGCACACTGGGACTGAGGGTAATGCCTTCTTGCTTCTCAATTTGCTTGACTTCTCTGCCTTCCCTGAGAGCTTTGTCATAGTATGGCATTGCCTGTGGCTCCTGGGGCACGGCAAACTCCTTGGCTCTGAGCTTCTGCAGAAAGAAGTCACGTGTGAGTGGAGACGTGGTGAGGAGGACAATTACTAAAGCATCATTAAACACTGCTACCTGCCCACAGGGACACCGCAGCCACAAAGGAGCCACACAAGTATCATTAAATAATGCATAAGAATATTAAGGCTGCCTCTTTCTTAGAATTATACAATGGCTTAGGTTGGAAGGGACCTTAAGATCATCTGCTTCCAACCCCCCTGCCATAGGCTGTTTACCAGCCCCCAGATCAGGCTGCCCAGGGTCCCAACCAACCTGGCACTGAATGCCTCCAAGGACAACTCCTCTGGGCAGCCTGTACCAGATCCTCACCACCCTCTGAGTAAAGAATTGCTTCCTAACATCTAACCTAAATTTCCCCTCCTTCTGTTTAAAGCCATTCCCCCTTGTCCTATCACTATTAGATCATATAAATAGTCGCTCTCCTCTTGCTTATAAGCTCCCTGCAAGTACAGGGAGGTCTCTCTGAAGCCTTCTCCAGGCTGAACAAGCCCAACTCTATCAATCTTTCTTCATAGGAAAGGTGCTCCAGCCCTTAGATTGTCTTCATGTCCTTCCTCTTTCTATCTTTTTATGGCTTGCTGGGCACTGAGACCACCTGCAACAGGACAGCAGCAAGCCCAGATCTCTCTGGTTGTGGCCTCAATCCACAACTGGTTCCATGTTGGGATTTTCTGGCTGTTCACTCTTGCCCACTTTCTTTCCATCTTCCTCTGTCTTTCCATCTTTCCATGTCTTCCCAGGGTGGATGAGCACATCCCTAGGCAATGAGCAGAGCAGGTGGATGGAGGAGGCAATGACCGGACTGCAGGGTGCCAGCTCCTCAACCATTAGCAATGGTAACACAACCCATGAGGCAGAGAAGGAAGGCTGCTGATCTTTCCAGCAGAAGGGACAGATCCATACAAGGATTCATGGCAGGGGAAGGCTGATGTGGCAGCTGGCACAGCTGCTCAGGGAACTTGCCAGATTCAGCATCTTTCCAGCTGCATGCTATAGCTCTGTGTGGAGCCAACTGATCCTTGCTAAAGGCTCAGCCAAAGAAACTCTTGCTCTGCCAGAACCATGTTTTGTCCATCAGCTATCTGTGACTTCTTGTTTTGGACTTCCACAAGTTTCCCTTTGTCCCTTGGCCTCATAAATCCCCAGGATTCTCCTTGCCATCACTCAGCCCAAGGTGACTTCCACACCACGTGTAGATCAGGGTGAGGGGAGCCTGCTGAGCTATGGGGACCACCTGTATTTGGGAGTTTCCACCCACGAGGATGGCAAGAGCTCCTCATGAGGCATCTCTGGAGGGACAAGAGTCTCTGGAGACTCAAGGTGGGGATGACAGAGCAGATGGCACTTTCTGTCTTAACCCAAGGATGTCTTCATCTTCCAGCAGGACATCACTCCAGATTTCACACAGAAAATCTCCCAGGTGGTTTTATCCACTTAACAAAAGCAAAAGAGCAGGTTCAAGAGCAAAACTTGGGCTTCCCAAGGACCTCATCAGTGCTTGACCCAGTGGAACAGCTTTCCTTGCAAGTTAATAGAGGGTCAGTGAAGAGTTAACGGGAGATGCAACCCAATGAAAGCAGTCACATCTCAGTTGTTTCCTCCCTTCAACTCCACGTGGACCTCCACATAATGCATACAGCCTTCCAAAGTCGTCAAGAAAAATAGTAATAATAAAGAAAAGAAGTTGAGGTGGAAGGATTGGGCACCACAACCGCTTCTCGCCGTGCCGCAGCAGGCAGGGGTTAAGCCTGCCCTCCTGGAGGCCACCTGAGGCTTGGGCTTTCCGGGAAGCAGTCGCCAGCCCAGCAGAGCCCCACTAATGAAGGCTGCTGGCAGCAGGAGAACTCCCAAGGGCAGGAGGAGGGGAGCTGGCAGCCGGGAAACAGGGGAGGAGAGGAGAGGGCCAAGGACAGCAGTGCAGCCAGGGCCTGACGTGCAGGATGAGAACCACCACCACCCTCCTGCACAGACAGCCCCAGCGGGCACCTTCACACAATGATTCCTCTGTTGTTGCCCACTCTCCCTCCCCAGCCTGAATGCTTTTTTTTTCCCTCTCTCTTGTGAGCGAATGAGCCCAAAGTGCTTTAGCAAGCGAACATGCCCCCCACCACTTCTCGGCAGTGGCCCGATGCAAACCACAGCTGTCCCCACCGGGCTGCCACAAGCAATTAGGGCAGGGCAGGCGGAGCGCGGCAAATCAGATTAAATAGCTCAGGGGGTCACTCGCACCGCCAGGGGATTAGAAAGAAAACAACGTAAGCTTCCCCGCAGAAGCCTTCTCAGGCCCATGTGGGGGCACGGAGACATCTCCATCCCTAACGCAATCCCCCTCCTAAAGGCAGCACTGGGATGGATCTGATCCTGATCACTCCATCGGCCCCACAAGGAGCAATAGGAGTCCAAGGCTTAGGTGCGGTTCAGCATGCAGCCGTTAATGCCCTGGCTTAATGAGTGTAATTAGCACAGCCCGCCCAAATGCGTTCACTGGAGGGCACAAGGGGGATCTCCCACGGAAGGGATGGGGACAGAGGCCTTGGGTATTTGGGCACGATGGAACTGCTGGTGGGAGTCACGGCAGTAGGGACAAAAGTGGACCAAAGGGACTCACACATCTGCACCCACCCAATCCCAGGCTCACCCAGTCCCTGGCTGTCCCATAGCCAAGAGCAGGGAGCTGGCACCAAAGGGCATGGAGCAAAGCAAGGAAGTGCCCACAGTACCTTCACGTCCTCCTCAGTGGGTGGTTTGCTTTCCTCAGGCCATTTGTACTCCTTCTTGTACATGCTCGTGTACATACCCAGTGACACAGGTGGCTGAAAGGAGAGGAAGCAAACAAAAGGGTGCTGCTAGGGCTTGGTCACCTTCTGTCACCTTCTAGAGGTGGTGTCAGAAACACAGAATCATAGAATCATTAAGGTTGGAAAAGACCTCCAAGATCATCTAGCCCAACCACCAGCCCAACCTCACCGTGCCCACCAGCCCATGTCCCTCACTGCCACATCTCTGCAATTCTTGAACACCTCCAGGGATGGTGACTTCACCACCTCTCTGGCAGCTGTGCCAATGCATTACCACTTCTTCAGAGAACATATTTTTCCTTACATCCTACCTGAATCTCCCCTGCCTCCTTATGCTTAGAGGAGGACAAACTGCTCTTCTGGATGCAATCTCTGTCTCCTGGGATCAGTCCAAAAGGGGCAGCCCCTCGCTTAGTTAAACCTCAAGAAGGGTGACCAGGAAGGTCCAAGATCTTTTGGCAACAACCTTTCAGGTTCTTCTAGTCCCAGAAAGACCACCATAGTGCCTTTCTCAAGCCTCTTCTCAGAGCACAAGTATAAAGTTGCTAATATACTTTCATCAGCTGCTGAGGTCCAGTGTCACGCAGGTTAAGCTTCTGTCTCACATTTCAATATTTCTTGTGTGCTCCTCACATCTTTAAAGTCAAGCACTGGCAAATGTCAATACATATTCTGCAAAGCAACTGGAGAAATTATGGAGGAAAATTCCACCAAGGGATATTGAGGCTGCAACACCAGCCTGGAGACCAAAAATGAATGCAGCGTAAACTTCAGGGGACGTGCAGAGGATTTTAGGGAGGAAGCACTATGTGCTCATCCTGTTTCCTGTGCTCCCCCTTTGGCATCCACCACAGCCCACTGCTGGAGACAGGAAAGTGGGTGAGATGAGCCTTCAGGCTCACTTTGGTGCTTTGGACAAAGTTGAAATACTTAAAGCACCTACTGAGATAAAAGGAACCAATAACTGTGCCAGCACACAGCCTCTTACAGAAGGTTCCTTGTGCCTTGCCAGCAGTGTCATTCATTATGTGCAAGAATATATTCTATATCCTCATTACTCTATTCCAGCATTTCACTCATTTCTCCCTCCGGGCTTCCCAGACGAGTGGCTGCCTTTGGCCAGGACCCAGAAGCCTGTTGTCACCAGCTCCTCTTATCTTCCCAACCTGGCAGACTGCAAATCCATTACTCAAACCCCAGGGAGGGAGGGAACCCCTTTTGTATTTCACCTTCGAATGCACTGGTTTCCTCATTGCATCCTCTGTGGTGAACCAGGAACCTGGACCAGAAGAAGTCATTCCGTCAACAGCTGGCATACCAGATCTTCTCCTCCACACTGCCCCAAGGGGCAAGGGATCTAGAGACTTGGCGTGGGTCCTGGAAGGAGAAAGGGGGTTCAGATGTGGCTGTAGGACCTCTGTGTACCCCAAACTGGTGTTTGGAGTATGAGTGACATCATCCAATCTCAGCGATGCAAAGTGTACACATCCAGCAGTGAGCACCTATGGAGCCAGACAGCTCAGGACATGAAGCTTGGCAGGACCTGGCAGAGATGAGATGACAGCACCTCACCACCAGCAGCCCACAGGCAGAGAGGTGAACCTCTGTGCCCCTTCCCAGAACAGGAGAAGTGCCTTGGTACGTGCACGATGGGATACGTTTGGTGGAAGCAGGGTTTCCATGGAGAAGGGAAACCTCCTGCCCCTTGTGAGACACCTGCAATCTAGAACACTGGAGGCCTTGGTGGGAGAGGACTTCACCCCATGATGTGTGGGATGAGGGCTTCTTGGGGAGAAGCCACCCCAAGACAAACACGGGGAGCTGCTACCTGCTCCTTCAGCTAAAGCTGGGAACACAGGAGAGGGGCAAAGTCCCATTGTGAGCCCTTGAGGGGAGGCAGTCTTCTGTCCCATACCCATGAAGCAGTAAAAGTCATAAAAAAGTCATAAACATCAAGCATTAACTACCTTTGGATCCATCTCATCCAAGACTAATTTGAACTCATTTTAGATGTCTACAAAGAGGATGTCTCCCTCTGAGCTGAGCCTTCCTGGCCTCCTGGCTCATTTAGCCTGATTCATGTGACCAGAGAAGACACGTATTTTGGGAAGAAATGAACTGCTTTCTCGGAAAGCATAGGTTTGGTCAGCTGAATCTCATCCAAGACTCCAATTTCTGTAGCCACATTTGAGCCTGGATATCAGGTCAGAAATGAGATTCTCCTGCACTACAGTTAATGCAGATAGTGGTAAATGCCAGTGATGATGCATGAGTCAGAAATATGACATCTCGGCTCCAAGATCCTGCTCTGACTGTACTAAAAAGCAGTGAAAAGCAATTTCTTCGGAAGGATGTGGAGAGGGCCCTGGCCTAAGGGAACTGATTTCTGAAGGGTTTCTGATTCCCTACACTGGGACAGAATATTCCTTTTTGTTCTGTGCTCTTAGCATACTGGATACAGAGGAAAGCAGTCACAGAGCTGGGTTCACAGGCACCATCGGAATGAGCTGAATTCCAGAGCTGTTTCTTTTTCACCCCGTTATGCATCAGTGCATAAACAGAGCCCAAGGATGCCAATGCCAGAGCCACGTGTTGCTGGCACCTCAACACGGGAGCCAGGCAGAAGGAGAACCCTTCATCCCTGCTGTATTTTATGCAAATGAATATCAGGATAAACAAGAAAAACAAGGAAAGAAATTATTTCTAGAAATGTGAAACTCTCGTGTTCTCCTGTGCTTATATTAAAGGGATTACACTTCATTTCCTTCTTAATACAGCTAATGCTCTATGGGAAGCCCTCAGGCCAGGGATTAAAGCACTTATTCAATTAATTAGGAACAAACTTCTGCCTTAAAGTCAAACACAAAAATATCAGTAAGCTCTCAAGAGTGTCTTCCTTTCCAGAGAAGGGAGAAAGAATCCTTTTCCTGATGTAAATGAAACCAATCTGCACTCTAAAATAATCGAGACTTAGATACACTGAGAAAACTCACTCTTAACATCTCAGCATCCTGCACAGCACCACAGCACAGGAGAGACTGTCCCATCATCTTTAACTCAGCAGACAAACTCCCATACAGGGGGAACAGAATCAGATCCAGAGACTAATATAAATGAGATACAGTTTTAGGATATAACACTGGTGCTAGCTCCAAGCTGCACCAGTGCTTGGCTACACTTGGTGTCATTAGTGAAATCCTGGCCATACTACACTTAAAAAAAAACCAAAATGCTTATTCAGTAGGATCCGAATTTCACCTAAGGTGTCTGATTCATTACTGAGATAGGAAACAATTTCCAAAACCTGCCTCCAAATTCTAATCTTCTTTGATGATGGCTTGATCCTTCCGTCTTCTCGCAGGCACAGTTCACATGAAATTAAAAGGCACATTGCCAGCACAGGTCATGCAGGAGCAGCCCACAGTTGCTTCTCATTTCTTCTTCCCTGATACCAAATGGTGGAGCTGATAATTACCAACAGGATCCCAATTAGAAGTGGGTGGGAACCTAACACCCAGCTCTCATCTTCCCCTGCCTCTGAGTGAGCACATCTGCCTCTCCATTGCTAATTCAGATACGAAGAAAAAGTAAACAAACCACATGCCTTTTTTTTTTTTTTTTTTTTTTAGTGTTATTATGCACTTAGAGACTTCTTTCATAACTTCTTCACAGGTGCCTATGGGCTGTAATGCCATTACCTCTCCCATGATACCAATTCCCTGAAATGTTCCCCATGACTCTCATAACAAGGACCTGGCAGAAGGATGCTACACATCACATCCCTCCCTGGCATCCCCACGCACACCTCTCAGTGCACAAGAAGGGATCAGAAAGAGTGGTAATGCATTGGCACAGGATGCCAGGGAGGTGGTGGAGTCACCATCCCCAGAGGTGTTCAGGAACTATGGAGATGTGGCACTGAGGGACATGGTTAGTGGGCATGGTGGGGTTGGGTTGGTGATTGGGCAAGATGATCTTGGAGCTCTTTTCTAACCTTAATGATTCTATGATTCTGTGAATGGGTTGCTTGGCTGGCAGCTGTTTGGAGGCAGCTCTTGCTGTGCATTTTCCTCCCCACCTTTTCCCAGCTGAATACTTTCTGTATGTTTTTGAAAGCTCCCCTACCCTTGGAGCAGTACATTGAGGAGGCTTCATTGTACCCCACATGCATGTACCCAACATGCTGGTTCTACAACAGGCTGCCCATCACAAAGGAAGAAGCTAGTACTGGTGATCAGCATTGCTTTATAAACACCTGCAGAAGAAATCTTATCTAATAAGATAATTGGTTTATTTTCACAATGCACCAGAGAGGTGACATCTGAGATTTCCAGGGCCAGGGGCACAAATCAGGCACCTGAATGGAAGTGCCCCTGTTTCTTCAGGCATTGATCACCTCAAACAACCAGAAAACTTTCCAGAAGGTGTTGGTGCTTTTGACCCCTTCACATCATGCTTTGTGAGCGGGCATAATGAAACCACAGCAAGGCCAATGTGCCAGCTGAGACCAGATTGTCAAAGGCAAATGGTATGTTTTAACAGCATCTGGAGTGAGTTTTCCAGAGACCAAGTGTATGACAGCTGAGTTCAAGCCCTGACGAGTTTAAATTACAGTCAGTGACCTCAGTGATAAAATAAAGCAATGAGATTTGTGTACCTGATCAGTACAACTCCTTCTTGGCACACTGCTAGACATTTCCCTGTGCTCAGAGGTCGCACAGCCTCAGTAAGATCATGGTAGCACAAAGAGAGATTTCACTTCACTTTGGCCCTCTCTTTCTCTACCTGATATCATTTTCCACTCCTGAGATGGCAACTCTGCTATCTAAGCCTGCATGGCTCTTGTGCAAGGTGCTGGCAAGGTTTGGGTCAACCATCTCAGTTATTATGAATTAACTGCAAGAAAACATGGCCAAGGAGGACATACCTCCTGTCAGCCCAGCTCTTGACAGGTGCTCTTTGGGCTGGGAATAAGATTCATTGCCCCTGTGAGGTTGTTAAAAGAGGGAAGTGCTCGGTAAGCAGGACCCCCATCGTGTGAAAGAGGCAGGGTGTAATCTGCGCATCTCCCTTCCCGTTATCACCACCAGGAGATAAAGTGCAAAGGGGAGACTCTTCTTCAAGGGACGAGCGCTGACAGCCCATTCTGTCAGCATGAGGTCAGTCATCCATTTGGATCTAAAAACATGAACTCTTGTCACAGTGCAGCACGTCCAGCACGAGAGGGTTTCCCAAAGAGTTTATTTCATGCTTTACTCCAATTTTCTGCATATGTTGGTGCAGGCATTTATGGCACCAAGTGAAGCAACCAGTGCCCTTCCACCTGCAGCCACACTTGGGCACCTGTAGCTCTCTTCCAGCCACCTAAATCACATACAGGAAAGTCAAACTCCTTCTTGCAGCTGGTGAACTCAGTGGTCATGTCCCAAGTCTTCAGGCACTTCTGTTGTAGCCTCCTAAAAACAATCCACTGTTTGCTCACACTCTTCCCCCCAACAAGCATCCATCAGCAGAGGACTGCTAAAATCTCATCACTGCCTATGTGTGAGTATTCTGTGTGCCACGATACAAATCAAAGCATATTTATGCACCTGTGTGAGGTAAATACATACATGTATTGTTGGAGAACCTAACTCTGCTCACTAATGCTGTTGTTTAAATAGCCCTTTAACCACATCACTTTTCTCCTCGTTAGGTTTAAGTCACTGGGGGTGAAAAAGCCCTTCCAGAATGGTTTTCACTCACTCACTCAGTCCAAAGTAAACATGCCTCTGGGACCATTATATGTATCAGATATCCAAGGCTTTGTTAAGAGCTTGCCTGTTAGGTAAATTCTGCTAGCCTTTCTCCTTGGAAGGAGAAGGTTAAAATTGGAGTTAGGCTAAAGGAGCATGGCAGAACAGCCTCATGTGTTACAGAATAGCAGGTCAAATCAGAGCTGAGCTTTGCAAACAAGCCTGGTCTCAGAGAGGCTCCTGATCGAACTCAACAATATTACATTGGCTTGACTTGTGTCTGCCACCTGCAATCACATGTGCCACAGATCTTCTGCTGATCCAGAGTCTGGTGTTTTCACCAGCAATCAGTAGAGCCACCAGGGAGATCTGAGAGCCCAGAAGGGCAAAGATGAGCCCTTGGCATCAGTCAATACAAGGGGGCTGTGCATTTATGGCGTGTCATGGAAAATCCTCAGCACATATGCCCCCATGTCAAGGAGTTTCACAGAATCATAGAATCATTGAGTTTGGAAAAGTCCTCTAAGATCATCTAATCCAACTGTCCACCTACCACCAATATTGCCCACTAAACCATGTCCTTAAGTACTACATCTCCATGTTTCTTGAATACCTACAGGGATGGTGACTCCACCACCTCCCTGGGCAGCCTGTTCCAATGCATTACACTCTTTTGGAGAAGTAGTTTCTCCTAATATGCAACCTCAGCCTCCCTTGAGGATACTCCCCCTCAACTTGAAGATATTCCCTCTCTTTCTATCAGCCAGATTGTAGCTGGCTGGACTTTTCTGAGTCCCACGTTGATATGCAATCACATCTTAAACGTTTGGCAGGATCACAACCATTCAAAATCTAGAGCTCATCCAAAAGCAAGTGCAGTGAAGAGGAGCCTCTCCACTGATGGAACCAAGGTTTGGATTGGTTCCACATCCAGGTCTCTTTCCCACTGCATCCATTAGCTGACCCAAACTTGT